CCCTCAGCGGGAGTCGAACCGCGACAGTGCAGGATGGAAACTTGACACGCCAATTACTCGGTTACACTGCGACGAGTACCCTTGAGTCACAGGGCATACGTGAATTTCAAGCAAGGTCAGACCTCTTTGCTATATCATATTCTTTGGTTCACGAAATGAATTTGTGCCAATACCGGATCGCTCAGATGTAGCTAGAAAGCGAGGGAAAAGAAGTGCTTACGCCTAGAAGCCTGGCGATGACCAGGCCCGTCTATGGGCTTTGGATTCTTGCCATATTTCACACAAAGTAAAATAGGACATGGGGAAATTGAAGGCGTATTTGCGTAAAAAATGTATTTGTCATTGCTAGTTCAGAAGCTAAGTCTAATGACTTTCGCCCAATAACTAAAATGACGAATAGAGCTTTAATATGCATCAGGATTGTGTAATATTAACTTAAGAACTATACTTGCCTTTATAGGCAAGGATGGTTTTGGCAAACTTCAATCTACCAGAAACCCGGCGGACGCATGTAAATGAGGCAAACTGACAGTTAATCGAAGACAGGAAGACCAAGATAGTGTGACCTCCGGTATGGTCGCAGTCTCCTTTCTATTTATACAAGAGGGTTAACCTCACTTTCGCATCTTGGTCTTGTTGTCAGGTCGATTCAGTTGAACGCACCTTCTCCAAAGTACTCTGCCATAGAAGATATCATCAGACCTTGGATCTAGAGCATTCAAAGACATTTTACCAGCATCGTAGTCGGCATAATCAGTGAGTCTCGCCATCCTCAGCGCCAAGGCAAAACTCGTCAAAGAGACACGTCTGAGAATGTACCAAGTCCACGGTTTGATGCTGGAAATTATGATAACTATTATGGCAGAGAACTTTGGACAAATTGCTTTCAACTAAGTCATCCTGACAACAAGGCCAAGTTGGCAAAACGAGGTCAGCCCACTTCTAAAAATGGCAGTTAGCTGACCACACGATGGGATTGAATTGACAAAAATTCGCCGTCGAATAGGAAGCAGCAAATAAGAAGTCAAGTCAGCCTAGGTAGCTTAAGGCGAAGAGGGGAGTGAAAGTTAAATTTCCCACAACGGAAAAAGTAGACCTCATGATGCCATTGAAGTTCACACTGACTTAGGCGACCTAGGCAAACTCGAGATTTAATTCAAGTTTAGGCTTTAGTTGCTTAGTCTATACATACCATAGAGGATAAAGTAAAGAATATATATATATATATATATATATAAGACGACCCCCTGACTTTTCCAGTTAAAATATAGATTTTGTTATATACCTCTCTTCCGCACACCAAATAAAACTTATAAGAATATCAGATTTGATTTCAACATGATAATTTTAATTAAAAGCAGCAAAACTGTCACTTATAAACCGAAAAGCCGTGTGTGCAGGAGGAGGAGGTAAGGGGCACAACAGGAGCTCGGAACCATAGTATAATTAGTGATCCCTAAACTACACTCGGCGTATAAGACGAGCCCCATTTAGGAGAAGAAAATTATGGTGTTAAAAGTCGTCTTATACGCCGGAAAATACGGTATATGTATATGTGGAATTCAATGCCATGGTTAGGCATATTCAGTAAATTGAGAGGAAATTCCCAATCAGTGCTTAAATCATCTTCAGGAGGCTAAAGGGACTAAGCTCTAACCAAAGAATTAAATAATACAGAATTACAAACAATGGCGTTTAAAACACAGAATAAAAGAAAAGATAAGAAATGCCTCGATGATAGGTACAGAGAAAATTGAGATCGTAAATGTTCAAACTTTTGTCTTGGCTTGGAAGTTTCGACTTAGTCAGAAGAGGATAGAGATGACTCTGAACAGTTAGTTCCCGATGTTAGAAAAGGGCCATTGTGAAATTACTTTAATTTTATGTGAAAGCAAAGGTGGGAATTTATTTCTGCCCTGTAACCATAACACCACAATATAATAAATGTACCAAGGCTGGATCTATAGAGTTGGTGATCGCCCATGAAATACAAAGGGCTAATATATCAAGGGCATATTCTGGCATGCGCGCTTGACCTTAATCCTCCGGTCTCCGTCCTACCAACAGCGTGGCATAGGGACAATTAGAATACGGCGGAAGTGCGCCTCGCTCAAATCAATATCAAAGGAGATGGTCCTTGCCTTGACGACGGATAGATGAGAGCTGCATGCCCCGCAACTCGCCGCCAATCAAGCACCCAAAAGTTTAAGTCGTTTGGCCATGCTAGAGGTGGTGACTTTCCAAACTTGTAGCGAATGAGATAGGCTATTCGGAACAAGGCAAGACACCAACTGTACGACAACCAGAAGGCTGAACAGTCAAGTGCATACACAGGCACAGATAAACAAAAGCACACGCGCACATGTCAACTCAGGAACAGACACAGGCCTCACTTGCACGAAATGGGAGTGTCGACGAAAGAGACACAAACTCAAGGCGATAGAGAAAGGGATTTGTGCAAAATTGCACCATTAAAGGCGACCAATTAATCAGACTGCTTCATTTCATGAAAAGGGAAACGCAAAAGCAAGTATATGAATTCATTGGATGAATGGCAAGTCAGTTAATAACTGTGTATGCGTGCATATGGCAATCCAGTGTTTACTTGGAGATGCTCCGATAGCTATTTCTGATGAGAAAGTGATAACTGTCTCCAAGGTAATTTCAAAATGCCTCTCAGCTATTAACAAAGCTTCAATCAAGTCGTGACTTTAATCCATTTCTTTTGGACAACTTGGGGAGCATATATAATTTAACAGTACGATCTTTCTCATGCGAAGCGATATTTTAGTGAGAAATATCGGTACAAGTAGTTGAAGTCTACGCCGACCCCCGGTGCAGAATCGGCAGCATTTGCTCTACAAGAGGAAAGTTCGTGACTGCCGTCCAATCATGGAACACCTAACAACTGATTAAGAAGACAAGCCACTAGGACACAAGATGAAGCATAGTACAGGGGCGGGAAGAAAAAGAAAATAGCCCAATTTATGGATAGCCGGAGGGCTAAGGATAAAACCTCGCCTGTAGTAAGCCCTCAGTTGTTGCAGTACAGAGTTTTATGTCAGCAAAAATTTGATTATTTTTCTCCAGCCAACCATATAGATTAGGAAAAAGTCTACCTCGAAACATACACGTGCGGACAATGCAATTGATGCGGTTGGAGTAAATCACTATCCTGAAGGGTTTAGGCCGAATATCAAATATTTGTTTATGCGCTGTCCCAACCCCGAAGAAAGTGACTCCAAGTCTAAGGAAGCATCTCTTTGGAAACCATAAAGCTCTGCATTAAGCAGCATTTCATCTGAGGATTTCGAAAATAGGGAGCCATCTGCAATACAAAAAGTATTCCTGAAATGAATAAGGAAGAGGATAGAAACAAAGCGAGGGTCGGTATAAAGACATTAATGTAAATCATAGCACCAAACCGACTTGTGGGGTGCAGCGAACTGACTCAATTTTTCAAGTTTGGAAAGCTGGTGAGCATAAACGAATTTCATCTTGGCGATATGAGCAACCAAAAAGTTGGAATCTCTGCTCTACACGCAAATGAGCGGAATTAGGTAAACGCCATTATTGACAAATCGTCTTGGCAAATTGCAAAAAGCCCAAACATTCAAGAGGCCTCTGCCTAGAATAAGAGAACTATCAGAGAAAAGGGATAAATATGCTTTGTTAGGTTACTCTATAACCTATGGTCATGTTTGCAAAATATCAGCCCAACCAACCCAGGCGATAGGTTATACCGAAAGCCTGTCTTGGCAGCATATTCAATCGCTTACTCTCATCATTACCTGCTTACTTCGATCTACACGAGACAAAAGTACTTGCATCGCCTCGATGCTTCGTTGGCTTGATTCAGGTTATGATAAGGGAGGAGATAAGAAGACAAATAAACGAGGTGTGGAAAAGGGAAAGAGCAATAGACGGCCGCCGGAACATATTGATACACACCGAATTTTTGAGGAAGACATGATTTTTTTGATATACTTGCTAGAGGGTTTGATCAGTTGCGTGCCTGGTTATGCATGAAAGGTTGGATGCAAAAGAAAGGGGGAGTGCAACAAATGGGTGACGTTTAAAGAAGACAAGCATGTGATATCAATGCTCAAGAGTGGTCCCCTTCTCAGGTGGGGAGTGAAATCGTACAATGGGGGGAATATAAATCCCCTGCCAACGGTTGTTAAAGGGCTATCAAGTCAAGGTTACGGTGTACGGGGGCATGTGGCAGTCTCTACTTCCCGCCGTGCACTGAGGAGCAGCATACGTCGGGTAGTTACCGTCGCAACCATGCCCTAACTCTTTTCTTAGCAGAATGCAACTAAACCACTCGAGAAGAGCCATCAGCCCAAGCAGGTACCTCTTCCTGCGAATAATCATTGCTGCCGAGACAAGGGATCGCGGCCAACATCCAACTAAAATTGTGGACATAAATCTGTCTTGGTACTGCACCGAGTCAAGTTACAAAACGTTCTCTCCAAGGGAGTTCATCTTTACAACGAATGTGAACCAGAGTGCAGGCATGGTTGACTATGCAAACCTTAAGAAATAGTGAAAACATGTGGTCTTCTTATGCAGTTTGAATAATACGAGAAGTTCTATGAGTAATGAAACTGAGCAACGTAAAATAACGAATGAGAACTGAGGTCTCCAAAAGGCAAATTGGTGCACATCCATAAATGCAAGAAGAGGAAAGTAATTTAAGTCGGCAATAAGGCTGTACTGAAGAGACCCAACCGCTTTGAATCAGTACATAATGCGTACTAGACAATTCGGCCAGGATCCTTTGGCGGCAATCACACATCCTCGTTAAAGACTATCTGCGCCTGGTTCTCAACCGCTTACGTAATGAGCAGAAGACACGGAATGATAAATTTGAGCGTTTGGCTCATTGTCTGGCGGTCCTTC